TTTGGGTACTTGATTTGGAAACTATTGTATTTATTCTTTCCTTTCTCTTTACTGCACACTAACTGTATTAAAGTTCCTTTCCATTATAGGTTTTATACACTAGAGTATGTTTTGTCTTGATGCAGTGGATGGCAGAAACCATTTAGAGTGGTCAGGTTAAGTGGTTCTGGGGTGCCCCTCACCCTGGCCTGTAGATCCATCTGCTCTATTTAGATTCCTGGCCCTGACATCCTTTTCCCCCCTAACAAAACAGCAGTTTCACAGGATTCAGCCTAGTGCCAGTCATTGATCTAAAGCTTTTTGTGTATTAACTAGATTACATTCCTCAACAACCTCAAGCGGTAGGCATAGTTATTACCCTGCGCCCTCGTAATAATGTTTCCTCTAAAGAGAAGCAGAAGAATCCAAAGAAGGGTTTGCAACCTGAACGGCCTCTAATGATTTTAAAATTTGAGGTAGAGGCCAGTGTTTGCAATTAAGCATCGAACTGTATTATCCTCTGAGTGTGTGTCAGAAACACGATCCCCTGGGGTGCTACGCTAGACTTGTATTTGGTCCAAAGGGAAGTGCGTCGCCGGCCCAAGATCTGATCCGACTCCCTCGCTCACCGCGCTCTGGGACCAGACGCCAGGTGGTTTCCTGGGGAACAGGCGCGGGTCTCTGTCGCCTCAACCAGCCTTGCTAGAGGCTTGGAAGGAAAGCTTTGGGAGTGACTGCCCTGTGGCCATTCAACGCCAACGCAAGCCCTGCCTCCAGCTAGGGAGGAACTTCCAACTGGTGGAGTCTTTCTGAAAAAGGCGGGACGGAGCGGAAAAGTCCTCCTCCCTCGAAGTTCTCCGGTACCCTGGGCGGGATCCGTGGTTGAGCTGAGTATAGTGTCTGGGGACCTGAGCGCTTGGGGAGCGAGGACAGTGACAGTGTCGTGCACTTGGGTGCGCCCTTGAGAAGAATGGTATTGATGGCTGGTATAGCTCCTTTTTATGGAAATATTATTAGGTACTAGACGTCAGGCTCATTGAGCAAACGTGCCTGAACCGGTGAATGCGGGAACCAGCGGGGACAGAGGACCAACTAACTCTAAGGGGTTTGAGCGTCCGGGCATTTTTGCATTGGTGGGGAGGTGCGATGTCAGCGACCCCCATCTCCGCGTGGTTCAGGGGTCAACTGTACTTTGCAAACTATGAAACCACTATTTAAGTCCTTGGTGGTCATGATGCGGATGGGCCAGCCCATGGCTAAGCAAAACCTGGTTTAGGAGGTTGTCAGCTCTGACTCACTTTGGAATCGCCTGAGGAATTCACACACACACACACACACACACACACACACGAGAGGCCCCACAACCCGCGTGCCCTCCACCCCTGCCTCCATTTTTTTTTTTTTATTATTATTTATTTATTTATTTTTTTATAGAGGCATGCTTTGTTTATTTGTTTGCTGGTTTGTTTGTTTTGTTTATACATGCACTGGGTACAGTCAGAAGCGCGGGAGGGTGAGAGAATTCACCAGAGCCAGAGCGGGGAGCAGAGCAGGCAGAAGGACCGAAGTACACTGCTGAGGGGAGCAGCGGGCGGCAGGAGAGGTCTGCACGCCATGTGGGACCCTCCTCTGGTGGCCGGGGAGCAGCCGGGGATCGAACCGGCGCCGCAGAGGCCGCGGGCAGCTTCGCAACCCAGCGCTCAACCGCTGCGCCACCAGGGAGGCCCTGCCTCCATTTGTTTTAATGAGCATCATTTGGGGTGAAAACCACTGGACAATGACAGTCTTGGGCTTCTCAATAAGCAGGTACAGTACACTTGCACCAGATATACCAAGTCTTCACATATCAATTAACTGGATATGATTTCTACATATTGCCTCCTGTAGGGTAAAGAAAATGTCAGGCTTTTCTGCCCTTCCACCATCAGGATAGATGATGGATCCTTGTCCTGAATGCATGCCTGATGGCAGGCACCTGGATGGAATAGGGTGTGGGCATAGGTAGATGGCATTCAGCTGAGCTAAGACTGTGCTTTTAAGGGCGGCGTCACAGGGACACCAGCAGCAGCAGCACAAGCCGAAAGAGAAGCCGAGAAGCAGCAGAACGAACGCCAGAGAGCCCAGATAGAGTGAAGACTTGCTGGGGGCCCGGGAGGCCTGCTGGCCTCCCGGCCCCCCAGCACCCCTGCCTGCCATATGCCTGGTGAACCCCAATAAAAGACCTGCAAAAACCACTGAGGACTCTGACTCCTCCTTTACCCGGTCTGCATGGGATCAGAAAACCTGCACTGTGTCCTGTCCTGACCTTACACCTCCCTATTCATTTCATGGATGTTTACAGAATACCTATTGTGCTCATTTCCTATTGCCACTGTAACAAATTACCACAAACTTGGTGGCTTAAAATAACAGAAGTGTATTCATTCATAGTTCTGGAGGTCAGATGCCCAACATTCCTTTCGTTAAGTTAAAATGACAGTATCAGGAGGGAGGTTTTTCCTCCAGTGGCTCTAGGAAAAAATCTTTTCCTTGCCTCTTAACGCTTCAGGTGGCTGCTGATAACTCATTGACTTTTAACCAGTTAGCCCAGTGCCCAGCACCTAGTAAAGTTTAAAAAAGAAAATAAAGCAGCTATTACTGGTCATCAATTTCATTTTTAGCTCTGCCCTCCTATCCACCTCCTCTTGCTACTCAGTAGGTTTCCAGAGTCACTTTTTTGTATTTTTTCCCCCAGAGTCACTCATTTTCTGTTAGCAGTCTTAGCCTGGGTTAAACCCCTGATTTGTTGTCTCTGTAGGGAGCCCCTATGAGTATCCAGCCTGGTTCTCCCACCTGCAGGGAAGAAGTGAAGTAGTGAAAATGAAGACACTCCCACACCAAGCCTATACTGCCCTAAGCAATCAGTTTGATGGGGAGAATTAGCTAGCAGTAGACAGGACATAAAGTTTCCCCATTGCAGCCTCCCTGGGTGTGCCAGCAAAAGATTTCTGGGACCTGGTTGGTGCTTCCTGGCACCACAGGGGCCTGTGGGAAACTAGATTTATGCTATTAGTATAGTTATAGCAACTGCGTCTGCTGAGTGCTCCAGAACTGTAATCCACGGTTCTTGGGGCTGTAATGGAGCAATTCAGAAGTCACAAGCAGGGAAGCAGGGCAGAGTAGCCATGATACTGGCAGGCTCTGGGAGGGACTGAGCTGGGTTGGAGTTGGGGCTTTGCTTCTCACTACCCAGTGCTGATGATCGATTGTCTCAGGCTGAGTCAGCTCCTTCATCTGTAGAGTGAGGGTGATGCTATTGCAATAATGGTTAATGGGTATGGAGTGTGTACTGTTCAGTTAAAACATGAACTTTTCTCTATTGAACTACTCAGTTTTTTAAAGCAAAATTAATTTTTAAAACTACAATTTTTTCAAAGTTACAACCTGCCCGCTTATAAACTGACATTAAAAAAAAAAAAAAAAACAACACACACAAGGAGCTCCCTGGTGGCGCAGGGGTTAAAGTCTCAGGCTACCAAGCTATCTCCAGCCACTGCTGCATGAGTTCAATCAGGGCCAGGGAGCTAACCTACAGGGAGCAGCAGACCTCTCCTGTCTCACAGCTGCTCCTCTCAGCAGTGTATTTCAGTACATCTGCCTGTTCTGCTCCCCTGTAGGGTAAGGAAAAATGTCAGGCTTTTCTGCCCTCCCGCCATCAGGATAGATGATGGATCCTTGCGGTCCTGAATGAATGCCTGATGGCGGGCACCTGGAATAGGGTGTGGGCAAATGTAGATGGGATTCACCTGGGCTAAGGGCTGTGTCATGGGGATGCCAGTAGAAGCCGAAAGAGAAGCAGAGTGGAGAAGCTGGGGCGGGGGTGGGGGGGGGGGGGGGGGAGGGTGAGAGAGAGAAAGAGAAAGAGAGAACACCAGAGAGCCCAGATAGAGTGAAGACTTGCTGGGGCCTGGGAGGCCTGCCAGCCTCCTGGCCCCCCAGCACTCCTGCCTGCCATATGCCTGGTAAATCTAAATAAAAGACCTGCAAAAGCCACCAAGGACTCTGACTCCTCCTTTACCTGGTCTGCTGGATCAGAAAACCTGCACTGTGTCATTCCTGCCCCATAAATCCCCACTCTATCTCTGGGGAATCCTCTCACTCCCTGTACCTCTGGCCTACACTCCAGATCTTGATGCATAAATAAATAAAAATAAATCTTAAGAAAAACACACACCCACAGATGGCTTGAAATGGAAATCACACATGGAGTACAAAATGAAAAATGCATTCATTTCTGTACAGTTTTTAAACCTAGAAAGACAGCAGTTTTCACAGAATTCATCCTCATATGTGTCAGTCACCATTCCAAAGCTGTGTCAACTTGCTTAAATTCCTCCACAACCCCACTAGGTAGGTACAATGATTACCCCTCCGTCCTTGGTAATAATTAGTATTTCTTCTAACGAGTAGTAAAAGGACCTAGGGGGACTGTTGGCAACCTAAGAGTCTCCAAGGTGATTTCAAACTTGGAGAAACACTGAGAGCAGTATTGGTAACTATGTGCCAAACAGGAATATCCTCCCGGAGCCCGAAACGCTCCCCTGGGGCTCGGCACTTGGCTTGCACTTGGTCCAAAGGGCAGCGCCTCACTGGACCCGGGAGGGACCCGGCGCCCTCCCGCGCCCCGGGCGAGTGACTGTGGCTTCCCGGGACCGGCGAGCCGGTTCCTGCCGTCTCAGTCAGTCTTGCTAGAGGGGGCGTACCCCCAGGAACAAAAGCTCTCGGAGTGACTGCCGCTGCAGCCTTTCAGCGCCGAGCCCGGCCCGCGCCTCCGGTGAGCGAGGAACTTCCCATTGGTGGAGCGGCGCCGAGGCAGGCGGGGCGCAGCGGGCAAGTGCTTCTCCTTGGTGCTTCTCGGCCAACCGCGGCGCCTGGGCCTCCCCGGTCACGTTCGGTTGAGCCGCGTGCAGCCTCGGGAGGGCCCGAGGGCGGGGCGGGGAGCAGGCCGGGGGCCGCGGGGAGGGGGCCCGCCTCGCGGGCGCGCCGAGCAGGGACGGTGACAGCCACGCGCGCACGTGCCCGCCCGGCTGCCGCGCGGCCCTGAGCCCGGTGCCGGCCGCCGAGAGGCGCGCGGGGTGTGGGCGGGCGCCGTCTGGGGGCCCGGCCCCCGGGCGTCTCCTGCGTCCCAGGCTCGAGTCCCGGAGCGCCGGGCCGTGCCCGCCCCGTCGGTCCCCGCTCCGATTCTTCCCAGTGACCATCAGGACCCGCCCCCCCTACCTTGGCGCGGTGTCCTCGCGGCCCATGCTGGCCGATGGGGGCCCGCGGCGCCTAGACAGGTATCGGGCGGGCCGGCCACCATGGTGGCCCTGAGGCCTCTGCGGCTCCTTCAGGGGGGCTAAGAAGCACAGAGCGCAGGCCTCGGACGTGCGGGTCCCCGGCCTGACCCCGCGCCATGGCCGGAGCCATCGCTTCCCGCATGAGCTTCAGCTCGCTGAAGAGGAAGCAGCCCAAGACGTTCACCGTGAGGATCGTCACCATGGACGCCGAGATGGAGTTCAATTGCGAGGTAACCGGCCGGCCGCCCCGACGGGCTGCGGTGAGGGGGAGCCCTGCGGAACCCCAGCTGGCCGCGTGCGTGTGCGGGTCGGGCACGAACCGGGGCTCCCCAGACCGCGCTGACAGTTGAGGTGCAAGCTGGAGGGGTTCTTTTTAGATCATCTCTGGGCATAAATAGAGACGGTCAGAACCGGAAGGAGTCATCTAGGCCCAAATCCTCAAGTTAAACTAATTGCTGCTTCCCTCCCTTTACCCCCACAGGACTTTTGGGTTTGAAAGCACTTCCTAAAGGTTTTCATTCATTGTTACTGAAATAGGCTGGAAGCATCTGTGGTGGTAAATTCTGGTTTTAGTGGCAGGCTTAAGCTCCAACACTGTAGAGTTTTGATTTAGATAATATTATGTATCCCAGATTTCGAAAGATACATCTCGTTTGTTGGAAAGTCTGTACTTGTTTCCCATTTCCATAGCTTTAATTTTTTGCGGGGTGTGTGTGTGTGTGTGTGTGTGTGTGTGTGTGTGTGTGTGTGATAGGAACATATATAACTATTAGGAAAGAGATGGTGTCTTATTCTCCATACAATTTCCATCATGAATTAAACAATTATTTGTTGAATACTTTCTAAGTTCCAGACATGCATAGTTTTAATTCTCAGAAAAAAAAAAACAAAACACAAAAAACCATGTATGTAGTAAATGGCACAGTGGGGTTTTGAGTTAAGCTCTTAACCAATACAATACTGCCTTTCAATCATTAGTTCTTTGCTTCTCACAGAGTGTGCTCTGTGGCCCAGCAGCATTGACAGCAGTGACCTAAGTCAGGTGCTGCAAATTTTGTCTGTAAAGAGTCACATAGTAAATATTTTCAGCTTTGCAGGCTGTGGGGTCTTAATTGCAACTACTAAACTCTTCAGCTCTATCATTGTTGCCCAAAAGCATCATCAGACAGGAAGATTTCAGCCTTCTGTGTTCCCTATCCCTACTTCGACCAAGGATTCAGAGATTTTTCCTGGAGGGAGAAGCAGTCTTGAAAATCCTTAGCTCCTAATCTCTTCCTCCAAGTGTGTGGAGAGTTTATGCTTTGGGTTATGCTCTAGAGCAGTGGAGGCTTTGGTCATAGGCAGTTGGGAGATTTTAGATTTAATCAAATCAGAGCCTAGACAGTGGGCCAGTTAATTTACAGGAGACAATGGGGGGAATAAGACACCTGGTAAGAGCATCCTAGGGCAGAACAAATATCACTGATCCCAGTAACAGTTCCCTCAAAAAGAGGTACCATTTGATTGGATTCCTTATAGAGCAAGTAATGCCCCAGGTCATTGTTGGAAATAATAGAAGAATATACCACAATTAGTGAAGTTTAGGCAGGTGTGAGCTGGGAAAGGCGAAGAGAGCCCTACTAAAACTCCTGTCATCTAGAGTTATAGTGGCGGGCATACCAACAGCTGCAACTCCAACTCCCTGAGTTGCTAACACTATGAGGAAATAGAGTTCTCCAAAACTATCCAGCCAGTCACAAAACGAACGAGAAAATGATAATAACAAGCCCTGGAAGATGGTTGGGGGATGACTAGCCTTTGAGTTGCTATATTATTACCTAAAATGTCTAGTTTCCAGGAGAAAACTATGAGACATACAAGGAAGAAAGGGAATTATTACCCATATACAATCATGCATTGCTTAAGAACATGATAGGGAGAAATGGTTGGTGATTTTGTTGTGCAAACACCACAGTGTAATTAACTAAACCTGGATGGTATAGCCTACTACACACCTAGGCTATATGGTATAAACTTTTGGGGCTGCCACTGTATATGTGGTCTATTGATGACCAAACATCCTTCAGTGATGCCTGGTTATAATGGAAAAAAGCTGGCAACAGATGTCAGATATAATGAAAAGGTTTCAAAGTAGTCATTTTAAATATATTCACTAAATTGAAAGAAAGCATGATTAAAGAAGTAAAGGAAGATGAGAAGAAGGCAACACCTTATCTGATTTCAAGCTATATCACAAGGCTACAATAATTAAAACTACATGGTATTGGTATAAAAACAGACACATAGCTTAAAGGAACAGACTAGACACCCAGAAATAAGGCCATGAATTAATTAAATAAGCTCATGATCAGTTAATTAATGATGTAGTCAAGATTATACAGTGGGGAAGGGACCATCCTTTCAATAAATGGTGTTGGGAAAACTGGACAACCACAAGCAAACGAATGAACCTGGGCCACTATCTTACACTATATACAAAAATTGACCTAAAATGGATTAAAGACTTGAATGTAAAAGCTGCAACTGTAAAACTAGAAGAAAATATAAACAGTAAGCTCCAAACTTGACAGTCTCAGCAATGACCTTTTGAATTTAATACCGAATGCAACAGAAGCAAAAGTAAGTAAGTGGAACTACATCAAAATAAAAAAGGTTCTATACAGCAAAGAAAACCACCAGCAAAACGAAAAGGCAACCTACTAAATGGGAGAAAATATTTGTAAATTATAGAAAGGGTTAATGTCAACAAGTACATTAAAATATGGCCAACAGTGATCATTAGGGAAATGCTATTCAAAACCACAATGAAATATCACCTTGTACCTGTTGGAATGCCTATTATCAAAAATATAAGAAATAGTAAGTACTGGTGCGGATGTGGAGAAAAGGGACTATGTGTACTATTGGTGGAAATGTAAATTGGTGTGACTGCTATGGAAAACTGTATAGACATGCTTCAAAAAATTGAAAATAGAACGACTGTATGATCAAGTTATTCCACTGCTGGGTATTTACTCAAAGAAAATGAAAATATTAATTCTGAAAGAGAAATGGCAGCCTCTTGCCTGCCTATGACTACGCAGGTGCCTCTCTTTTTCTTTCTCCTTTTCCTAATAAACCCAACCTCTTAAAATGTAAAAAGAGAGAGAGAGATTGAGAGAAACGCATTATGTTTATTGCAGCATTATTTTTGATGGCAAAGATATGAAAATAAAGTAACGGTCCATCAGTGGGTGAAGGGATAAAGAAAATGTAGGGTAGGCACACGCATATGTATATGTGTATAAACACATGGAACACTATTCAGCCATGAAATAGAATGAAATCTTACCATTTGTGACAATATGAATGGACGTTGAAGGTACTCAGCTAAATAAAATAAGTCAAAGAGAGACAAATAGTACATGATTTTATTTATATGTGGAATATAGAAAACAAAACTAAATTAAAATCAGAGACAAAAAACCAAATAGATTCTGGGTGGTTCCCAGAGGGGAAGAAGGTTGGGATTATATGTGAAATGGGTGAAGAGGAATGAAAGTTACAAACTTCCAGTTATAAAATAAGTCAAGGAGATAATGAAGATTTGAAAGTCACTAAGAAAAAAATGCTTATAGACTTACTGTGAGAATCATTTTGTAATGTATACAAATGTAGAATCATATGTTGTGCTCCTGGAACTAAAATAATGTATGTCAATTTTACTGCAATAAAAAAGTATGTGTAAGACTTTTTACATATTTCAGATGTACAATTGTATGTGCTACTTTAATAAACCTCAACTCTAAATCATAAAAAAAATTCTATTTACTATAGCATCAGAAAGTGTAAATGTTAGGAATTTAACAAAAGAAATACAAAACTTTCCTCTGAAAATTATAAAACATTGTTGAAAAAATTAAAGGTGATCTTAATAAGTGGAAAAACATCCCTTGTTCATGGATTATAAGACTTAACATTATTACATGGGTGATATTCCCTAAATTGATCTGCATATTTAACGTAATCCCTATCAGAATCCCAGTTTATATCTGTAGAATTTGACAAGCTGATTCTAAAATTCATATGGAATTCCAAGTTACCTAGAATAGGTAAAACAAACTTGAACAAATTAGGAAGATTCATACTTCCTGATTTCAAACTGTACTACAAAATAACCATAATCAAGACAGTGTAGTACTTGCATAAATACAAATATGTAGATCAGTGGAATAGATTTGAGACTCTAAAAACAAAACCATATGTCTTCTGAAGACCATTCAGTGGAGTGGGGCAAGAAAGGTTGAATGAGTAGTTCATAATTATCAACAAATTGAACGGAGACAACTGGATAGACATATGTAAAAATGAAGTTGAACCAGAACTTAAAATGGATCAAAGAACTGAATGTAAAAACTAAAACTCTAACACCCTTAGGAGGAAATATAGTGATAAGTCTTTAATACTTTGGATTTGGCATGAAATTCTTAATATGACACAATGAGGGGCAAAAGACAAGATACATAAGCTGGACTTCATCAAGATTAAAAACTTTTGTGTTTGCAGGACCATCAAAAAGTGAAAAGAAAAAATATTAGCAAATCATGTATCTAAGTAATAACAAATCAAATAACCCAATTTAAAAATGGGCAAATGATCTGAATGGACATTTTTTTTTTTTAAAGATTTATTTATTTATGCATACAAGAGCTGGGGTACAGACCAGAGATGTGGTGGGTGAGAGGATTCACCAGAGACAATGGGAAGCAGAACAGGCAGATCTACTGAAATACACTGCTGAGGGGAGCATTGGGCGAGGCAGGAGAGGTCTGCTGCACCATGTCGGTCACCTCCCTGGCTAGAGATAGAACTCATGCTACAGTGGCTGCGGATAGCTTCACAGCACTGCATCTTAACCCCTTGCGCCACCAGGGAAGCCCCTGAATGGACATTTCTCCAAGTAAAATATACAGATGGCCAAGAAGCACAGGAAAAGATGCTCAACATCATCAGTCATCAGGGAATTGCTAATCAAAAACAGTGAGATACCACTTTCCTACAATGAAAGCCAATCAGTAGGATGACTAGATTAAAAAGGGCAAATAATGACAAGTGTTGGTGAGAAAGTGGAGAAATCAGAATCCTCTTACACTGCTGGTGGGACTGTAAAATGGTGCAGCCACTTTGGAAAAGTCTGGCTGTTTCAAATAGTTAACTTAAGAGTTATTACATTCCAGGGCCTCCCTGGTGG